GTTTTGTAATAGCTTGTACAAATAATTTAATAGTTATTTTCCACAATTTTCCGCATCATTTTCCATAGCTCATTTGCGCCATCCTAAAGACAACAATTTGTGGTACGAAATATAGTTCACGGACACACCTCCTCGCGCGGAAAATTGCAATTCTTCAAGCCAAATTCCCACGTTCCACCACCGCAAGACGAAACGAGCCGAGTGCGAATGCAAATGCAACTGCAGTGGATCAATCATGTGCCTAGAGCCAAGTATCCAAGTTTCCAAGTATCCAAGTGCTCTGCTGCGATCAGCACCACTCACCCACCACTCGAGAGCAAATAAGTGCCTTGGACATCGAGTGTGGAGGAAATAGTGGGAGCAAGAGCAACCGTTACCTTCTTGGCCAATTGGTCACAAAATCTTAACACCTTGGCCAAGATTGGGGATGATCGGATGGTCGGATGATCGGATGATGATGATCGCTGCCCGCTGATCACTCAGTGGCGGCCATTAAAGTCAAATCATTTTTCACATTTAGATGCCGGCCGTTGAGATACAGTGGAGCTTGCTGCAGCACGGCGGCTTCAATTGATGCCAAAATCCGAGTCCATCCATCTGAAATTGCCCCGATCACGATTCGTGGGGGAAGCGAACGAAATATATTCAATGTTCGATGGCAATTGCGATGACTTCGACATCGCTCGCCATTGGACTGGGATTGCAGCTTCAACTTCAACTTGGACTGTTGGACTGGGACTCAGACTCAGACTGGGACTGGGACTGGGCTTACATAAAAGTAATCAAATCAACACCTTCATCAACTCCTTTGGCTACGCTCCAACCGCAAAGTGCCTTCCTTATTTCGGATCGCGGGCCAATTTGAGTTCGGTAATTTTTCTCTCTCGCAACTTTGGGGCTCCAAAGGCAGTGGAGCAGTGGCGATCGGCTGTCGATCAAATTGTTATTTTCGATATCTAATTTGTCATTTGGCAGCGGCAATTTGGCCATTGCCTGGATCTCTTGCTCTTGGTCTGGGCCTTACTTGACTTGACTTGACTTCACTCGAGTTGAGTTGAGTTAAGTTGGCTACACGCTGTCTGCAATGCACGATCCTTGGGCTTGGGTTTGGATTTGGGTTTGGGTTTTGCCCGGGGTAAACTAGGGAATCCCGGCGATTATCTTGTCGGCGCGTGAAATTCCCCAGCCCCGAGCTGCGGAGGAATTGACCCGCAATTGATACCAATCCACGGCAATCCATTACAGGGGCTAAGCGCACAAGTTGCATGTCTCATTATTGGCAATTTCAGAGCAGTTCGGGTAATTGCGCTGTGCGGCGAGGTGGGTGCCTGCCTGGGCATGACTTGGGCATTTATTCCGGCAACACATGGTATTTGGTTGCATCACGTCCCGCTTAATGCCCAGATATACATATGCTCGCTTTGAGGAAGTTGTCCCGGAAAGTTATGAAAGTTTCGTTAGTTCAGCGGTCATCAGATGAGTGTTACTGGGTTAGAGATCACAAGTTTGGGGTGTGTTAATGTTTTCGGATCGGAATTTCACTTGGAAATAGCAGCACACATTTGAGTCTATTTCCCTATTTTTATTAGGTATTCGGAAGTTTTTAACAGATATCGGATAAGTTAATAAGCCTTTCGATGCATAAAAATCCAGCTTAAAAGACAATTAAAGTGTTGAAACGTAATAAAATGTTATTTGCTTCCATCAAAAGATTATAATACGATTTTTTGTAATAAATGAGATTTTATTTAACACATACGTACATCATTTACTTATTGAACTCTTCAATAAACAAATATTTGTAGGTTAGTTTAATACTTAAATGCATTTCAATGAACGCAATTATCGTTCCGTGAGCTGCTGATGCTGATATTGTTGTCTGATTACTGTGATGGGTCTATATTCAGTGATAAGGACACATATTCAAACACTCCCGCCTACTCACACGCTCGCCGACACTTGCTTTTTAATTACAATTGTATTCATTATTTTATTATCAGTAGATTTACATTATTAAAAACATCGAAATCACTCTTAAAACTGTATTTACACGTGTTTACGTGATGCATTTAATAGGCAATCTAAATATTTTAATATTTATTTCGACTTAATTTGTATGTAATTATTGTTATTTACAAAAGTTTTGCTCGAATCATTCTTTCTTTACTTGAAATGCTATTTTGAATACGCAAATTGGTTTCAAACAAAGGGAAATTGTTTTTGAGTATTTTACTTATGTACAGTTTGGCTGCAGTTGCTTCGAAATGTTGTTCTTACCCGTGGAAATAGATACCGAGCAGAAAAAATAAAACACAATAAAGGGTTCATTATAAACGCAAATTTTTATTATTACAAAATATAGAAAACTTTTCATACTCTATACACATAAATAAGGTAATGCTTATGCTTACGAAAAAATCGTTTAAGAACTGAAACTTGCACTGAACGTTTTGTGTTTTTACTCGTAAAGGTTACTAAATAAAAAATTCGCTAAATTTTGCATTCATGTTTCCACGAAATGGGCTTCCCAACTAGCGGCATCTTTGAGATGCACCACAGAGAGAAGAACCATTCGAGAATCGAATTTAATTTTAAATTTTACTTAAAGTAAAAATAAAATTGCTAAAGCACACATAAAAAATTGCCACACATCAAGTAAACATAGCTTAAAATTTTTGGTATATTTCTGCAAACCACTGGGAGTAGAGTTTCATTTATATATTCATATATGTATATAAGTGTATATGCTACATTACATATATAAATATTTCAACTATCTTTATGTTTTGTCTTTTTAATGGGTTAAGGTTGATTTCTTTCATTCCTCAATTTATCTTTTATTTTTGTGGTCTAAAAATTAAGTAGAACTCAGTGCCATTTAAATATTATACACATTCATATATAATGACGTTATTTGTCGCCAGTTTTTTTTGGATTTAACTTTTAAAGTTCTCTGGGATATGTCAGCTGAGATTTGTTGCTCACAGCTGGGGCGGCCTAGAGAAAAATTTGGATTTTTCTGGGAGTTATGTACAAAAAGTTACAACAAAAACTACAAATGGAAAATTAGTCAATTAAGCTACGCGGCTCTTCCTTTTTTTTTTTTTTTTTTACATTTTTCATTAAACATTTTTTTTTTGGGTTTTTAGGTTTTTAGGTTTTCTGGGGCGGGGTATCTACAAGGTTGTTTTAGAGCCCCATTTCTAGATGCATAAATAATTACACTACTTGACATCCACAATGAGAGGAACTTCACTGATATCGATTAAATTTGGCGGCGATTGTTGCTGTTGCTGCTGTTGCTGCTGCTGCTGCTGCTGCTGATGTTGCTGCGGGGCCACGGCTGCTGTTGCAGTTGCTGTTGGCGTCGATGAGGCAGATGACAGCGAACCAGCCGAGGACGAGGAGGGTATTGCTGCTGTGCCATTGCTGTTGCTGTTGCTGCTGCTGCTGCCCGCCAGCAACATGCGCTGGTGATGTTGCTGCAGGCATTGATTTGCATTGACTGCAGCAGCGGCCATCATCATGGTCGCGGCATCGCAGTAATTAGACAGCATCGTCGTGGTGTTCACTGTAGATGTTGCTGCTGTCGCTGGTGTCGCATAAGCGGTAGTCGGCGTGGCCATATAATCGGTATTGCTGTTGCTATTGCTATTGCTGTTGCTGGCATTACTGCTGCCGAAGAAACTGCCTGCACTCATATGATTGCCGCTGCCGCTGCTGCTGCCGCCGTTGTTATTGCTGTAGTTGTTGATCTGCTGATTGCAAATGTTGCCGCCGCTACCGTTGTTACCGTTGTGGCAACCGCCGCTGCCGTATGTTGGCTGCATGACAGCAACATTGGCGAGCTGGTCATGACTGGCAGCAACAACGTTGTGGCTGCCACAGCCAGCGACACCGCCACCGCCGCCTCCTCCGCCGGGATTGATGTTGAGCGTTGCAGCCGCCACAGCTGCGGCCGATGATCAAGTTGTTGTCAATTGGCGCCACATCGTGTGTCACATCGAAGGCAGATAGGGCCAGGAGAAACTGTTGCCGCTGAGCAGCATGTCGCGTATCAGCGTTTCAATTGGCGTTTTTCCGACTAGACGCACAAAAAACAATTGCTCAATGACCTAGCCGGAGAAGAGCAGAAGAATGGAAAGCAAAGATTTAAATTAGGGGGAGTGACTGAGAATATAGAGGAGACAATTCTTCGAAAAAAGATTAACCCTAAAAATATTATGGCTTGTTTTGTCTTTAACAAAAGGGGGAACACTGTCCCAATTGTTTTTGTTTCTCTTAATTTGATTGGTAGGCTTAAGTCTTGGAAACAAAATATTTTTGCTAAGATAAAAAATATAAAATAAATATAAAATACTATAACATATTTAGCTTCAGAAGCAGATTTAAGTGGTAGAGCTTTAAAATGGTATAATATTCTGTACAAATTTCTTTTAAACAAACAATTTTATATATTATTATTATAAATATCAAATAACACAAGACACTAACAAGACTAATATGTTGTTTACTAAGGGGCTAATTTTTGGTCCCCGAATTTATTCAAAACTAAATTTTACAATTTTCTAAAAGTTCACAAGAGCAGTAATTTTGTTAGCCCCCCATATAATTATAAACTTTCAGCTTTTTAAAATAATATTATTTTCAAAACCACTTTACTTAAAACAAACAATTTCATATAAAATGTTGTGAAAAAATGGCGCATGAGATTTGTTGCTTTAAGCTTTTATTTTTACTTTAATACTCAGCCTTACTATAACAAATGCTTGTTATAACATAACACTATAGTTTTTATTTTGCCCTATGATTAACCTTAAGAAAAACTTACTTGTGAGGAGACAGTTCGCAGCGATGGTAATCTGAGCAGCAGCTTGCCGAATCTCGTGGGCTGGTTGGGATACTGGGTCCGGCAGTACTCCTCGAGGGCGCACTGCGACTTCTCTTGCAGGGATTCAATGTGCGTCACGTCGGACAGGCCGCAGGCATCTGAAAGAGGGGCAAAACAGCGAATGGACCATCAGTTGCCTGCAGATTCACAGTTATGGATGCAAATACTCTTTGGGGCAGTTCACCTGGCGCCGGCTCAGCTCGAAATTTCCAACTCTCGAATGCCTGTCACGTCAAACCAATAACCGAACATGAGCGGCTGCCACGCCCACAACTCAGCTCAGTTCAATTGAGTTGAGCACACTGAACATAAAAACAACAAAAACAAGGCAAAAGCAGCGGATCGATGACGAAACTGAGAGATTACGTCATGTTTTGCTTGATTTATGTTCAATTGAAGTCGGTCCACTGAGAACAACCGAACAACACTGGGTTAATTAAATTGGGGAAAATGAAGCCGCAAGACAACGCCCTGCCCTGTCCCCGCGAAAACGATACAGCCTAGCCAATGGGTTTTCCATCTAGTCAGCTAGCCGTGGCATTTAATTACGGCAATGCTGTCGGATTGCTGGATTGCGCATACGCAGCGTGTGCCGTCGAGTGTTAATTGCCAGGCACCAAAAGTTTGCTTATCAATTGCCGCTGTAAAAACATCAACACACCGCAGCGAGCGGTTCTTCTATTTTTTATACTCATATATATTTCTGTGGTCGACTGTTTGACTGTTTGACTGTTTGAAATTCAAATTAGACATCAGCACTTGTAAATTTGCATAGCTTTAAAGCATTTTAAATGGTTGTTGCCGTTAAGAATGGCGTTTCGAAATTGCATATGAAATTTTGTTTGCTTAATTAGTCACTGCGTAGAGTCGACGACTCTAGGACTCCATTACGCAATGCGAAGCGAAAGAGCTGCAGTTGCTGCTGATATATCATTTAGCAGCCGAGCAGGCTGAGCTAATGATTGGGCCATTTGCCGGCCGATATCATCATGGTTCGAGCTCATATATCCGATTGTGATTGCATGGCCAGCTGTCTGGCACTGCATGTCGTTAATGGCTCTCTCGGCCGTATTGGTTGCACGCAACTGCGAATCTGAGCCGGCCACAAAGACGAGTGTCAGTGGAAAGGCAAAACCACGGCTTGTTGTGCGGCCAAGATCTGCTGATGATTGGGCCAGCCAATCGGGCTCACAGATAATATTCACAAAAAACATTGGGCCGCAGTTATCGTATAAATTTCCTAGGCCTTGCCCCCACACAAAGCGCGTAAATCAGGCTAAATGATTTGTCGCCAGAGGCAACAGGAATTCAATTAGCCATTATTAACCATTCGGTTTCATAAACCACGGAACGAACAACGAGCCATGAGCCATGAGCGTTCGAACAAGGGTAATGGTAATAATCGTGAAGCTCTGACGATACAAATTAGACATGGTCAGTCCGGCCAGCTCAGCGAATCACTTCATTGGCCACGGCCATAATTGTCAATTGACTTTCCATTAGCTCGGACGATACCCGGGAACCCAGATGGACAGCAGACGAAGGAGGTGGAATGAAATTGTGCCAGGCACAAAGTTTTGGTTTCATTGAAATGCAGCCGAGATGACGAGGAGCTGGGATGCGATTTCTCGGCGTGGAGCAGCTCCGTGGAGGAGTTGTTGCATGCCCAAAGTGAAAGACATTCCACTTCCAGGTCGGGCAGCACTGGAGAAAGAGCTTTCTCGAGGGGTTAGCCTCGTCTGGGCTTTGATTTTTTGGCTCTTGGCTTTGTTAACTGTTTTCGGCTTGTAGTTATGTACCCTACGACGATCTTGGCTTGACTTCGATTTGTATTTGTGTTTGGTTTTCGGTTTTCAGTTTTCAGTTTGCAGTTTTCAGTTTGCAGTTTTCGATTTTGGGTCGTCGCAGTTACTAACTCAGCGAGGGAGAGATCGTGACCGCGTGTTTTAAATGCATAATGACCGTAAAGTAGTTGGTTGCCCAACCAGCAGACATATCGAAAAAGGAGCACAAGGAGTTGTAATGCCCCCGCTCCACCAAAGCGATCTGAGCTGTTTAACAAAATTATGAATTGCTGCATTATATTTTATTAGATTTGTGTTCTTTATGGCTCCAGTTCTGGCCGCGCAGTTCGTGCCGCGACCGCCACAAAACAGTTATAACTTTATTTAGTTTTAATAAGGATCGGGTCGTGTGGGGTCAACTGTGGAGACAGGCTGGGCAAAAGGAGTTCCGCTCTATCGACTGCATCTAAATCTTGGGCAAACACAGCTCGTAGCCCGTTTAAGGCAGACTAACAGTCTAAAAGACTGGCAGACAAACCTAAACCTAAACCTAAACCTAAACCTAAACCTAAACCTAAACCTAAACCTAATATCGAAACGCGCCCTTAATGATTCTAATCAACGACGTCTGCCCCGGCCCAAAAGTTACTGTTAATTGCCAGATTCAGAGTCCCAGGCCTCGAGGCACGTCGCTGGCAATTTTCAGGGGAAAAGTAGCGCAGGCGATCAATGAGCGCCACAAAACGATTTGAGACTCCACTCCTCTCCACTCCGCTCCACTCTGCTTCGATCCGCACTGCTTCGAGCCAAAAGCCAGCGCAAAACACACACAGAATGTTGGTCAAAAAGTGTGGCCAAGACATGAAAGCTACAACTCTTAACAACTGCAACAAACGACAGCAATCAGAGGGGCGAAGATGCACCGCGGCAAGGTGAGGCCATGCCAGCCAGAGGAGCAGACATGTCGTCAATGCGCTGCAGAAGATCTAGTAAGTCTATACCCGGTATTTTACTACCGCGATCGTGTCTCGTCTCCCACAATCTTTGAGTTCGAACCATGGGTACTCTGGGTACTCGGTACGGGGTACTGGGGATTGGGGATTGGAGTTTGGGGACTGGAAACCGCGCAGCGATTGATCGGCTGCAGTTTATGGACTCATGCAGCCAATTCAAATGCAATTGCAGCTTGCCAGTCGGTCCAGGGTCTCAGCCAGCGAGACCACGAACTCCACGCCACACACGCCCCCTCAAGAGTCGGGCTTAGCTGATCTTGGCTTACACAAAGAAAAATTAGGGTAGTGTAAGCCATAGGAAAAATTGATAAATTGAAATTGTTTTAGAAAATATTATTAAACGGAAGCCAAACACAAAAGTTTTGTTAGCAAAGTAAGCACAAAGTCTACGAATATAACACTTTAATTTTTTTATAAAAACACCCCTCTATTTTCACGGTGTAGCTTGGCCAAGCGACACACACAGCGTTTTGGAAATGGTAAAATTATTTTCATTGCAAGTTTGGCCAAGACCTGGACTTGGTCCATTGGTCCATTGGTCCATTGGTGCATTGGTCGACTGGAGTTGGGCTTGTAAGTAAGCGACATAAACGAGTGTTGTATTAATGTTCATAATGTGGTATCTCGACGTCAATAAACGTCGCCACGAAGAGCAGGCGGGGGGAATGGGATATCTGAGAGCCGGACTGAGTTCAGATCAGCGGAAAAACAATTGCGACGTGGAATTGGACAGCTAGTTGACACGACACGGGAAAAGGGGGGAGTTACTAAATCAAAAATACTGCACTTCCCCTACCCTACGTTAATCGAACTTAAATGCGCTAACTTACACTTAATCGCAAACTTAGCTTAGGCTAAAGTCAAAGAAAACCTCGGTTCACTCTATTTGCATACAAAGCTTCAATGATTTATTTCGCGTGGAACCGAATTGTCTTAAAATAGGTATGTTATAAGCTTTTAAAAATATTTAAATTATTCGCATATGAACTGTTGTGACTTATTTGTGTGCGTGTGCATGTTTTAGACGTGCATGTGTTTCAGTGTGTGTGTAATCCCAAAGTCCAGCGTTTTGTTGCCACGTGCGGATGAGATTAAATTTTGTTTGTTTTTGTGTGAATAGCTTTTGTTAAAAAATGAAATAAAAATGTGAAAAGATTAGTGTTAAATAAATGAGTTTTTTATGCAACTGAAAACCGTTAAATTTGCTGAAATTATTAAGAAATAAATTCAACAAAATTAAACATTTTCCCGTGAGCTGAAAAATAAAAATGATGCCATTACCTTGGGTTAGGATTGTGCCTTAAATACTTAATCAGAACGTGTTCATCATTTTAGGCATCTAAGGCATTTGATTATTGGATTTTGATCATTTTAAGAGCAATTATAAAAGCTACAAGGTATTTGTTTGTAAATGATTTGAAACTAATTGACCTAGAATTCGGAACTTTTAGGTAAAGAAGTTTCAAGGAACTAGTTATTTTATTTTTAAATGCGATAGAATGATAAAATGGTTTTCATATCATGTTAGTTTAGAGCTATGAAAACTAATTCGTCATAGGTTTTAGAATGTTCTTGATATTAAGGACGATTTAACAATGATGAATTTGATGACATTTCGTTAGAGAAACAAAATCAAATTCATCATTATGTTACATTACGGTTCAAGTTCAATTCAAAATACAAATCTAATCAATAATATTAAATAGTTTCAAAAGGTTGTATACATATTTCTTTTGTTTAACGACAAATCCAACAAAATTTAATTTAACAAATGCTGGTAGGATCTCACTTGGAAATAAACGAAAACTTTAAAGCTAAAGCTTTTAGTTGTTCATGGCTAAGAAGCAGGGTTAGTCAATTGGTTAATATAATGTTTGTTAGTAAACCAAAATAAACAAATAAATAATACATTTAAAATTAGTCAACAAGCGATGTAAATCATTAGTAAGCAATAACGAGTAAAAACACAAGCCAGGATTAGATTTTTGTTTAACAGCAACAGCTTTATATATATATTCTTAAATTTCTTTTTCTCTCCTTCCTCATCGATTCTTTGTTTATCAAATTTTTTGGCAAAGTTCACTAAACGATTCTAAGTGATTACGGCTAGAATAAATTATGCTTAGTGTAAGGCAATAAATAAATAGAAACTATCAGTAGGCACTAAAGTAAGTTACGCTTCTCCTAACGCTCTAGATACATGTGTAAATATACAGTACGGTACAGTACAGCTCAGTTCGACTTCTGTGAGATCCTACAACTGCCATCTACTACCGGCCAGGCTATAGGGCGAGTACCTGTAACTGGGGCTGCCGAAGGACGCGCTCCCGCTGCCGCCCGAGTGGGAGAGGGCGTGGCCAACGCCCACCCCGAAGGGCGTGCTGTGGTGGAACATATCGAAGGCCGAACCGAAGGCGGCGCGCGGTGGCGTCTGATAGTGGAACATGGCTGCCGCCGCCGCCGCGGCCGAGGGCGTCTGATAGGCTCCACCACCCAGCGGGGCGGATGAGGCGGAGGACACTGGCACAGGGTGGTGGGCGGTGGTGGATGTGGAGGAGGAAGAGGAGGTGGGAACAGTAGCGGGAGCGGTTGCCAGCGAATTACTCAGCGGCGAGGCGGTTAGGTTGCGGGAGGACGAACCGCTTTGCGATTGAGTAGGAAGCGAGGCGCCCAGCCCGCTGCTGTTGTTGTGCCCGGAGGCGTCCCCGCCGCCACCGCCACCGCCGCCGCTGCTTGGGGGCGTGGCCTGGGCCTGGGCATAGAGGCTGGCCAGCAGGTCCATCTCGGAGCCGGCGGACTTGATCGGGCAACTACTGAAGGCGCTGCCGGCGGAGGGCAGCAGAGGAGCAGAGGCGGGAGCAGAGGGGGCAGGAGGAGGTGGAGGAGGAGCCTGGACCTGGGCCTGCTCCGCCTGCTGCACTGCAGCCTCGACGCCGGCCACGCTCTTCATGAAGGCGGCCAGATGGAGCGGCGCCTGCTGCGGAGCTTGGGACTCCAGCTCCAGGCGGTTCAGCTCGTCCAGATGCTCACGCACCACGGCCAGGACATCGTCGTTGGACGTGGAGGAGGGGGAACGAGAACCCTTGCCGATCAGGGCCGATACCTTGGTGAGCAGCGCCGGCACATCCTTGTAGAGGATGTCCAGCAACTTACCGGTGGTGAAGAGCACGATCGCCTTGAGACAGGAGTACTCCGCGGAGTCCACATGCAGGGCCTTCAGCTTCTCCACCTGCTCCTGGAAGATGCGTATGTGGTCCATGAAGGCCACCACGCGGTCGGCGGCCATCGGGGAGGCGTGCAGTCCGGCGGCGGCCAGCAGCGGCGCCACATGCAGCGGCATGGAGCACTGGCTGGCGTTCAGCACGAACAGCTCCGACCAGACGAGCCGCAGCAGGGCCACCTGGTCGGTCACCTGCAGCTCCGGGAAGAAGGGTATGTTCTTGGCCCACTCGACCGCCGAGAAGAGCAGTCGGGCGGCCAGCTCGCAGATGTTGTCGATGCCCATGATGTTGTTGGGCTGCATGCACTGGCCGTAGCGGGAGGTGGGGTACGGCTCCGCCCGCAGCAGCAGCGAGATGTAGGAACTGAGGTACGAGTGCCCGTTGAAGCCGGCGATGCCCATGGGGTCGCCGTTGGCGATCTGGTACTGCCCGTGCATGCCGGCCAGTCCGGGCTGAGTGGGTGGAACGCGGCCACGTTGGACAGCTGAAAATAAAAGAGGTAGAAATTGTGATTAGTTTGGTGGAATGACACTAAGGATAACTACAAAAGTAGATATAAATTACAGAAAGCTCTTCAAAATAAAATCAGATAAGCTTCTTTGATTTTTATTCATTTTTTAGAATGAAGGATATAATTCAGGCACTCTTAACCATATATAAAGCAATATAGAAGATTTCCATTTATAATTAATTTTATTTGAAATTTTAGTTTGCTTTAATGTTGTGATTAGCTCCAACCAAACTACTAGTTTAATTATAAGGTTTTATTAGCCCTACTCTTCTCTAACAAAAATTAAAATTATAGAAATTCCAAAATCCAATATCCTGGCAAGGGAACAGACACCCCGCAAAGAGGACTCTTGCTTTTGTTGGGCTTATTTTGACCGCCACATCACACGAAGCACAATGCGGGGCATTCTGCTCTGTTGGCAAAGCTGCCACAACTCACAATGCTCGCTATCTGGATATCTGGATATCTGAATATGTGAATATCCGAGTATCTGAGTATCTGGCCACCTCGATCTGGGCATAGAACTGCGTTGTTGTTGCCCGCCCATTGTTGCAGGCCAAGACATCGTCATAAGATACTTTCGTGCCACCCCAGGAGAATTTCAACCCCTTTCTGTGTGGCTGTGATGTCGCGACTGCTTAGATATGCAAATCGAACTAAATACTTTCAACGCGCATCCTTCGGATACACACATCTTGCAGATACCGCAGCAGCAGATGTGGGGAGAGTCTTGGCAGTTTTTGGGCAAGTACAGCAAAGAAAGGAAATAATTTACAGGTTTTTTGTTTCTTCGTTTTTTTTTTTTTCTTAGCAACGAGCGAAGCTATATATAAACATTATAATTAACAATGTAAACGCTTAACAACTGAGCAGCTAAATGGAAAGTGAAAGGCCTTTTGAACTTTGGCCGGAAACGACATTTCCCCAGACATTGACGTGGATTCGACTGCGAATTCGCATTCGCATTCGTATTGCGACAGGAACATGACTATGGCGTGGATACATGTGGATATGGATACTTAATATCTGCTGAAAGTTAAGCCACTTGGACACGCTCTCGAGTGTTGGCAGCGAGTGACATGTGAGCGGGAACTTGAGCACGTGCTGGCGGAAGATTCATTCATTAAGCAATCAGCCAAAAGGGCAAGTCGGCAAGTCGGCCCAGGGCCACGAAGACCATTCCACAGCTAAGCAATTGCTTTCTTGGCTGCTGTAATCTCGACCTGATCTCGGTGCGAAACCACAGGCTTAGGCAGATCCTCTTTTCTGGGCCCTTTCAGCTTCTTCGCTGTTCTTGCGGTCAGGCAATATTTTCCCAGGCGCATAAATAAGACGCTGGACACTGGCCGCTCGACCGGTTTGCCGTCATAGATCACCAAGTGCATCTTATAGAGTCCTCGTCCTCGTCCTCGTCCTCTCTCACCCCATCGCGCAATTACGCAAATGTATTGTGTAAATAAGTGTACCTATCTCGCTTTCTCTGCCGCCACGGATGGACAGTGGTCAAGTAACTGGTTCGGGTGCGGATTCAAATTCGGGTGGTGCAACCCCCGGGCTTAATTGCTCCGGCAAAGGCAATAAACAAACACCTTCGAGGCCGGGACAAAAAAGGGATTTCAGGATGTGTCCATTGTGCGGACTGACCAAAAACGCTTTCCGAAAGACGTTACGTTCCAGGTAGAGATCTTCGTATTCGAATCCAGTTCCACTACTTTTTTCCAGCTGCACCACTATGAGCTTCGATCAATGGTAACGTTTGTGCATTTTCGCCAATGCTTTGTTTTAGTGGCCTGGCCCAAGGCTCCGATTGCGTTGGCCAGATTGCCAGTGAGCTGCTCTAGGTGTGCCTAGGATGTGTGTGCTGGTGTGCCTAGACTGCCACAACTTCCACAACTGCCAAGGTGTGGAGTTTCCATCTGGCCGTGGAGGTGTAAGAAACCTTTGGCTGACCCACTTTCCTAACCAGCCAAGTCGCTCCAACTAGCCATTGTTTGCCCAGAAATGCGTTCGACCAAGCCCCGAATCGAGCGAATGCAGGTGTTGATTGCACTGCTATGGAATTTCAGTGGAGTGGTCAGAGTTCACCAGCAAGAGTTCACCGTTTTCGAATGGCCGATCAGCCCACCGAACAACAAAAAATCCCTTTAAAAATGTATAATAAATCTGAAATAATTTAGCATAACTTTGCTACCCCTAAAAACTTGTTTTTGTGCAGGAAAACTTTAGCGATTTGCCAACCAGTTCCCGTCTCTGCTGCCCCATCCCACTTCCCTTGACCAATTGACACTGCAATTTAATTAGAGCGACCCGGAACACCGATTTGATGTTGTTTTTTCAGGTTTTGCTAGACTTTTTGTGCGCCAAACCCGTACAATTTCTTGACCCAGGGTCGTTCCAGGCACAACCTTTGTCCCGCTTCGCAGCTAAGTACCTGGCCCCCACCCCGCGTCCATAAAGAGGGTAAATCCGAAGGAAACCTCCTATGCAGAATTGTGATTTTCTCACGATTTCTCAGCTTTGATAGCGAGGCGAGGGACTAGTTTTACGCAGAACTTGTCATTAAAGAAATGTGACTCAACGCAACGCAACGCAACGCAACGAAACTGAAAAAGCAGCAACCCAGCTCCAGAATGTGGCAAAAGGTGTTGAACTCTTTAGCGTTTTTACGAGTTCTGGGGCAAGTATATGAGTAGAAGTAGTATAGTACAGGTACAGGTACTGGGTGAGGAAATAGCTAATTTAATGGGCCCAACAGGTAGATCGGACTTGGGTTCGGACTGTGTAATTAGCCAAAAACTTGTCTCGACGCGGCCAGCATTGACTTAGGTAAATTTGAAATGCTTTTTTTTGCACAATCCGTCGGCGACTAAATAAATGTTTATATTCATTTAATTACAAGTGCATTGAGAGGAGGCTGATGTAGCTGCATTTTAATTGCCCGTAGTCGCCATAAATTAACGTTTTCGTTCTTAACCCAAATCGATGTGTGTCTAGTGTACACTGTTCGTTCAGACATCTGTAGCCGTTGCCTTTGTGGCTGCTGGCTATTAGCATTTTGCGAAAAACCTGTCAATATTAGTGCAAATAATAACAGCTTAGCGTCCGCTAACTGCCGTCTGTCTCTATCTTTTGTATCCGCGACTCCCCGACGGACGCTAATTGTTAATGCTGACAAGTGTAACTGGCCATTGGTGCACCGACCAAACGACAGTCGCTCAATTCAATCAGTCAACCAGTCAGCCAGTCAATCAGTCATTCAGGCAGTCAGCTAGTCAATCAGTCGCTGCAGGAAAACGAGTCTCACCCAAGTATGCCAAATATTTGGCTTGGCCGTGCTTACAAATTAGCTACACCATACACATTGGGCTGCATTTGATTAGCTGATCAATTGCATCGTGGCTTGCATTTCTCGCAGTGTGGCTTACTGCTTCATTGTAATTATGAACAAGTTTGCATTTGATCTCCGGGGTCAATAGGCTGCAATCGCCTGCCTAATTGTTTTTTTTCTCTATTGGGGGCTTGCAGCCAATTTGTGCGTGGTGGTCAGTAAAAAGGGGGAAATCTTGAAACTGACCACTGAACACTTGTCCTGATCCAAGCTGATCCAAGCTGAACCGAACTGATCCGAACTGAACATTCTTTGGCATAGTTCCTGGCACCCAAATAACTCAACTGATCCGCACCGAACCGAACCCAATTGTTAGCCGCTGTTCAAATTCCTAGCATGTGACATTTAGTCATCGCGCTGCTCTACTTCCGTTCTTCTGCCGTTGATTTAATTTATTTTGTTTGCATTTGCCTCTGGGTTTGACTTTTAATTGACCCACAGCTCACAGCTCACAGCAGCCTATGTGCCTGAATTTCTTTGTTCTGAATAGAATAACACACTTGTTGTTTGGTTTTTTTTTTTTTTTGCTTTGAATGAGGGAATAAGTCTTACCTTCGCGTCGCATGCCCATTTTGAGGCACTTCTTCAATCGGCAATATTGACATTGATTGCGATGATGCTGATCTATGGGACAGTTTCTGCTGCCGCGGCACGAGTATGTGAGATTGCGTCGCACCGAGCGTTTGAAGAATGATTTGCAGCCTGCAAGGGAGAAGAAATTCAAAAATTAATAAGATACTAAGATACAAAAATACCGAAATAAATAGTCACTAAAGTGCCTAGAATAGGAATTTTTACCACTTTGGGGGCTCCAGCTGTTTAAGCACTCCTTGACAAACTGCGCGGCACCAAGTTCCTGATGCCCATGTCAATGGTCATGTTACACGTTTCATGGCTTAACGCCTCCCATAAAATTACCTTTAATGGCTTTCAATTAACAAAGTGTATCTTGGCCGCGGCGATACTGGCAAGCTGCCGTCGTCCCTTCCGAAAAGAGGGAAATTGGCAGAAAACTGGCAGCAAGTTCAAGTTCGGCTTGCCACGAATTTACTGTTAAGCTAGAAGGCCAGATCAGCCACGGCTCGTTGGGCTACGGTTTTGGTTTTTGGTTTTTAGTTTTGGCTTAAGCCTTAACTTTGGCTAAGTGCTTTGGGCCACAGTCGCAGCCGCAGCCGCAGCCAGTCGGGTGTTGTTGTAGGACAAGCCAGCGACACGGCAAGTTAATGTCGCCGACGCGTATCTAAACATGTGTATCACTTGGCTCTGCGCGACTGCATCAGCGTTTTCTGCATAAAGAGCCTCGCCAGTTGGCAGGCGGATACATTATACCTTATATAAACATATATATTTCTATACATATATGTATTTGGGGAGGCATTGTCTGGGACCAGGTTTTCATTTGCCGCAGAGCTAGGAAAAAATTTCTCACAATAACTCAAAACAATGGCATATGCTCATAAAATTCGTTTTAAGCTGTAAAATCATCATCAAACAAAATATGTAAGCGCTGAGCGTTTATGCAGACTCCATCCTATCCACTCCTCCCCTTTCCCCTTTCCCCTCCCCTCCCCCCTCTATATAGCATGCGATCACAGGCTATAAAAGATCTTTCAATGCTTTTTGCCAATGCGATCGTGTGGCTTCAGCCTCCCACCGGATTGGAAACAAAACGTGGCCCGCGAATTGAAATTGATTGAAAGTCGATCGCTTAATGCACTTAAAAGAAGTTGTTGAAGCCGCGACTTCAGATGAAGATTAAATGAAAAGCAGTATGCTTAAGTATGTCTTAACTGAAGCAATGGCCAGAGCATTAGGGATCTCTGATCAATGATTGGCAAGTCCTAGAGATTAATTTCATTTCCTCCACCAAAGGGCATTCAGTATTCCTCACTTTTCGGCTATTTCCTACGAAACTGCTCGAGAGACAACTACAAACTACGAACACATCCAGAAATGCGCACTCACACACTGCCAGCCTTTTACACCATATGATCTACGAATAACGATATTGTACCAAGTCACGATTTCTGCCAAAACGTACCGTTGCCTTTTGCCCCATCCTCTGGCCTCCTCCACCAACTCTGGCTGCACTGCGGCGAACGGACAACTTGGCCAGAAAGCCAGCAGAGCAGAGCAGGGCAGAGCAGAGGTAAATAAAAGAACTGGCAACAGAGGCGAACTGCCCATATGCGCCTATCGCAACTCTATCTAGAGCTGCAGCTCCATCCCGAGTATCTGGGCATCTTTGGATAGCTTTGGCTTTGGCTTTGGGAGGATCGGGTACCCGGGAACGATCCCCGATGGACTTTTGCGATGCGAAAGATGCGCGTCGTTATTGATGAAGATACGAGTACATGGGCCAGATACCGTAAACAAAATCCGAGACGGGGTGGAGTGGATATCGTGTTATATCAATAACCGAAAAAGGGTGGATCGCTCTAGCGCTGGGCTGCGAGTGTGGGAAGTCAGTTAAGCGAAGCCCTAGAATATGGCCTCTTCTACGGCTTCGGCCTAAACGATTGGCTTTTTGGCTTAGCCAACTTTGCGGTAGTTTCAATTACCGCTTCACCTAATTGCCAGCGGGTGGCTGAGGAAGCTGAGGAAGCCAGTTCGCGTGCGCTACGCGCCATAAAGCGTTCAATACAGTTAGAAGTTGCAAGAGGTTCCGAGAACTAAGCTTAGCTAAGCTAAGCGTTTTATTAATTGAACTTCCTGAAAGTGAACAGAGTCATAGCCATCGCCATCTATCTACACCACACGAGATCCCCTTGCCGCTTGGCTGGGCAATTTAAAGCGTTAAATTAGTTGGCTCTAGCCGGCAATCTCTGGGTATCTCTATCTTTTGGCACATGCACTCTCGGGTGGCAGATGGCCCAATCAATTGCGCTGGACTACACTTTTCCCATTTCCCATTTCCCATTTTCCATTTTCCAGCCCGCGGTCAATGATCGCTTGGCCCAGTGGAAGCGGAACGCGAACGGGAACGGCAATGCAAAGTCAAAGTCGCCTTGACTTTGGCTCATTTTCTAATTACTAATGCACACAAGAGGGCAGCAGCAGCAGCAGCAGGAGAAGATGGAGGCGGAGGAGCAGGGCCATCATTAAGGTGCAATAATTAAATGTTAAGCTTACACGGAGCAACCAGCTAGTCAAAGTAATTAGCACAACTACACAACTGCACAACTGCAGTCCAGAGGCGGCTAGACAAAATATCTGGAGTACAACCGAAACATAATTACAGCCCCCGTCGACAGACACGAAACTGCGAGTAACTCGGCTCATGCACTCTGAGTATCTACAAAATGCACTGATTATGAACGGGGCCCGAGGAAATGGCAAGAAAAACTAAAGCTGGAACGGAACAGGTGCCGATGCCGGTGACGGTGACGATGCCGATATCCCAGCAGGCTCCCCCCCCAACTTTATGGCCCAATATGGGTCAACTGTAAATCAAATGCCAATCTGGGAAGCTACTACCCATAACCGTAGTCCGGGCAGAAGTATCGCGATTGTTTCGCTGCAATCGGGACAGCCTTAGCTGGCTATTCATTTACATCTTGCATGTGTCACGTTGCCGCAGGCAAATGCCAAAGAAAATGCCGCCTTGGCGATAAGCGATTTAGATTTAGTTTTAGTTTTAGCTTTCATTTAACTGATGCTATGCGAAGTTATGCAGCAAGTCGGTCCCTCTTAGCCGTGCAAATGCCCTGGTCATGTACGACACATGGCAGTTAAGGGGCTGAGCGGCTAAGCGGGGTTATGGCCAAGGCAACGACTGCAGGCCCGGATTCTGGCCAAAGTTGTGCAACTTGCAAGTGCAGTTCGGGGCCCTCGAAGATGCACACAAAAACGTGCTGCATTTCGCTGGGCCTGATCGATTAGCCGAACTTGGCTGAAAACGAAAATTGCGCATGAAGTGGCAACAGAAACTGCAACAGCAACTTTAGCTGCAACTGCAACTGCAACTGCAACTGCAACTGCAAGTCTGGCCCAAAGCAGCCTGGCCTGGCCTAACATAATTAATTAAACCGTTACATTATAAAGCGGATCAAGTCGGTAGTTCACGATTTCCCTACCCCACAGAGGCTCTCTTTCATTTCGGGGGCCTCTTGCGAAATCGCATCGTGTCAGGATGAATTTTTTGCGCCTCATTTTAAGAGACCTCAGCAGCCTGGATAGACTGGTCTTCCAGACAGGCTAAGCTAGCTAGCTAGCTGGTTGCCGAGCTTTATTGGCTCGAACATTTCTTCTAAGTACAACGATTTGTAGTACAAGCCAGCTTTTAATGATTACAATGTCTGCCCGAATTCAGTTGGCAGTTGTTTTTGCCCTGTTTGTTTGTTTGTTTGTGTTTGTCTGTCGGTTGATTTTCCCTGTCTCGGCAATATCTGTACAATTAACTTTTGTTTTTGGAGATTTTCCTGGGGCTGCCCTTAATGAAGGGTTCAGCTCTCGGGGCTCATTAATGTTGACACAGAGTTGGGCAACGCTCTGCTCCTGTAAGTATGATTATTGTGACAACGTCGTTAACCCGCCAAATGGCCGGGAATCCGAACGCCATTGCAAAAACATACAAATTTGTCAAAATAAATATCGGGGCCATAAGTTATGCCGCTCGCATGGGGGAAAAGCTACTGCTACCGAGTTGTAAATCAAGAGCCAGCCAGGCTGCAGACCGCAGACTGCAAATCGCACGGAAGTTATAAATGTTTATCAAAAGGCGATTTATTTGATATATGTTATGGGCTTGAAATTGACTTTCAGCCATCCTGGTCCGCTAAATGCAAATTTTTAATACAAGCCTTGAATTTATTTTCCCTCTTGCTAATTAATAAATAAGAAATCCGCTGCCGCGGGCTTTGTAGCCACGCCCACTCCCCAAAAAAAATAACAGAAAAATGCCCAAAAGTGCAGCGTCATAAATTGCAATGCTCGGTGGGCGTTGTTAATTTTGTGCATTCGTATTTACTTTGTTGCTTTTACTTTGCTCTGGCGGAGTGGCGGAGGGGGCGCAGGGGGTGGGGCAGGTCGTATCACAGACAGCAAATTGATTTATGTTTGGCTTTTGTTAAATGCTCAAAGTGGAATGAATTTCCACAGCGAAACACGAATTTCAGAAGAGCGCCATTTAACAGATTGTCAAGAGGTGCAAAGTGAAAAGCAAAAATTGTATTTTTTTATAAAAAAAAAAACCTTTTTGAACATTGCTTTCAACAAAGAAAATAAATGCGAAATTAAGAATGATTTTATTGGTTATTAACCCACGTATTCTTAAACATTTGTTTTTTTAGAAATCTCTTTATGAGACTTTCAAAAATCTACAATTTTTCAGCAATTTCCCCTTTAGAATTCTTGTTACTTGCCCACATCATAATGAAGTCAATTAAAAAGCCACACATGTTGAATACAATTCTGCACAAAGGAAGAAGTCGGAGGAAACAAGATTCTCCCTCCAAAGAGACACAAAGATACAGCACACAAACTGACCAAAGCGTTTCGCGACATCAACAATTTTCGGACATTTTCAGCCTAAAATTGTATGTATGAAGTTGGGGACTGGGAGCTGCTGAGCTTGGGATTTCGGGCTGAGAGAGGCTTAATTGCCGAACGTGGGAATCTATTTAAATGAGTTTGATGTAAGCTCGTTCGCGGAAAATGTGGCAAATGGAACAAGCCGAGCCGGGATTATTTATGCTGCCCCACAGTTGACAATCTGCGCCTGGCGGCTGCACTTCACACACATTACTTGTGGCAACTAATGGGCTCGGCTGGCGCTTAACAATTAGTTTGGATGGCAATTTTTCCCCACTCCACTCCTCATGTTCTCAATTCGGTCCTGCTCTGCTTAGCTGATGTTTGTTTTAATTAATTGCATGCCAGGTACTTAGTTGTGGCGGTTATTTTTCGCAAAATTTATTTGTCATTGTCATGTGCGCCTGCAGCGGCCAAGTTATGCTAATTCACTTTTGACATCGCTGCTGAGATAGTTTTCATGTCGGAATTGGAAATTCAATGGGTTCGCAGAAACGGCGGCTTTAATATTTTGTGCACTGATTGATGATGCAGCGCAACAGATACGTGAAATCTCAGCTTTTGGGCCACTAATAGCCATGACAAATAGCCAAATTAATCGGTGAGTTAGGGGGTGGGGGGGAGGGTGGCCGAAGGAGGAACGGGGTATTGCCACATTAGAGCCATGCACCACTCATCATTAATATTATCGAGGCGCTTTTATCAGCGCACATTATTCAGCCGCCACTAAACCGTGACTTTTCGAGTCGGCCAAAGGTCACCAGGCAATGCTGCTGCTGATGAGTGCAAGAGACTCTTGGCCGCCCATCCTTAAATCCCAAATTCGCCAACAGCTGGGCGCGAAATCAAACAAGTTGCCACCACTAAGGGAGGACATGGGCAGGCAGATCGGCAGGAGCAGGAGCAGGAACAGGAACACGGACACGGACAACACGCATAAGCTACAATTAATCTTGCAGCTACGAGTACGTCGACTGGCGGGGTGTCTTGGCATGGGTTCACATACCCATACCCATACCCATAGCCATAGCCATACCCATACTTTTGCGTAGACCCTGCAAACTGGACAAGCGGATAGACATTTGGACGGACTGTAGGGACGGCCAGACAGACGGACAAGTGAGCACACACACACACACACACACACACACACACACGCGAGCTGAGACAGCCGAAACGAGTTGCCGCGGTGGAGTGGAGTATCTTTCTTTTCTAAGAGCCACGAAAAGTATCTGCACCTCGAAGTGAATCAGCTGAAAGGACGCGACTGGGCTGGGGTTCAGTGAAATACAACAGCGAAAAAAAAAACACTGAAAACGCCGGCAATGATATGGGCTCTATGCGCTTTATTATGATTTTTGCTACGTTTTATTTCGCCAGCATTTGAGTGAAGCTGAAAATGAAGCTGAAGCTGAAGCTAAAGCTGAAACCTAGGCTCAAGCTTTAGCGTCTGGCGATTGCATAGAACAAAATAGATTGCTATCGTGGCAACATCATCAGGCCAACAGGCAACCGAGAGATACCCGTACCCATGCACTACATAATACATACTGCATACTGCATACTGCATACTACATACAACATACTATACTGTCAAGGGGAATGGGGGAGGGGGGGAAACACCTTCAGAATGCAACGAGGCGGTCACAGAGCCGCATATCTTCTGATTGTTGCTGTTGTGGGTTGCGCATGCGTACAAAATGCTCGGTGATTAATAATAATAGCAGCGCCCGCGAACAGTGGGAGCCATCGGAGTGCAAAGTGTGGGTATCTGCGAATCTCTGGCTGCCATCGCGGCCCACTGTGCCTGCCCAGTCACCACACTTCTTGGCTGCTCCAGTGCCAGAACATTTGAAGAGATACGAGTATGACAAGTTCAACTTCAAGCTGCACTAAATGCCAGAGCCTATCTCCCTCTATCTGAATGCTGAATGCAGTTACCCATCCCCATCTCCATCCCCATCTCCATCGCCATGCCATTCATCTGCCCCGCAGCCCTCCTCCATTCCGGAACTCCAGAGACAATAAGAAGGTGGGCGCTTCATTTAGCGGTCGCCGCACAATTTGCATGTTTGCACAACAATTGTTTGGCTTAGGACAAAGCACGGCCGTATTTTATTTAGATAATAATTTTTATCTGGCGATAAGGCGAGGCAGCGGCGGTAGTGCGTGCCTCAGCCCGGATTGCCATATATATACACCTATTTCGAGGGCTCCCGTGCTGCGATTTGTAGTGTAACGGAATGCTGACCGGAGGTGCAAAGGTTTCTGGGAAAGTGACTTGCTTTTGGAGTTCTCAAACAACCGATTTATGCAATTTAATGGCCACTTAGACGGCCAAGTGCAGTACTAAAATTTACCTATACAAAGATATATCAACAAAAGGGACAGTAAGCGGTTGCGCAAACGTAAATCTCGCTGAATATCTTTTGGATCATAAAAGTATTTTACATCCTTACATGATTTGGAGGCCCTCGCCCCCCGATCAACTAACTAGCCTTGGGCATAGCCGATCCAGCTGCAACGCAGATCCCGCCAAGATTTGCATGGCCCTGGGAAGAATTCCCGCGCACACCCACACCTGGCCACGTTGGTTTATTGCCAACTCATCAAACTGCCATAATTCACCGAAACTGTCAAAAATCAGCGGCTGGCAGGCACGCTTTTGTGCCCGCTTTCTATTACGTTGGCCATTTCTGTTTGGTCATCCCGGCCCAGCAGTACGAGCTCGAGTACGAAATCAATTGACCCCCAATTGCACCTCAGAGGTGAGATCGCTACTCGGAAAACAAAGTTATCATGCTGCGATGATATTTTTAAACATTTCAATCTGGCATTGAAATATGCAAAAAATCAAAAATATCTAAAAATATTATAGTAGCAAATATTTATGGGACAAGGGTGATATATGAACCTCTAGCCAATGCTCTACTATGCTAGTCTTTAACTAATCTAGAATGATTTTTGATTTTGTATACACATATCATTATGTTAAGTAAATAGCAAGTACAGTGATACTTCCATTACTTAAATATGGAAAAAATTTAAGTACAATTTTTTGTAAGAAGACACAAATCTCATTTGATGATTGTAAGAGTTCACTATCTAGAATCACTTTTATAACTGTATATTTATCCAAGTTCCTATTTCCGTATATCAATCAGATTTTCTGCCAGTGTACTCACCTTCGCAGGTAAACTGTCCGTAGTGCTTGCCGGAGCTCTTGTCGCCGCACACGACGCACTCGATGTTCTGCTTGCTGTCGATCTGCGATCCGCTGTTGCTGCTCTGCGAGTGCGAGCTGTTGGCCTGGGAGCTGGGCGTGGTGCTGCCGCATCCGGCGGGCTGTCCCTTGATGCTGCTCAGCATGTCCTGGCCGTGGCCCTTGATCAGGGGCAGCATGTCGGAGCCGTGGCCGGAGTTGTTCACGCCCGATCCGGAGCCGGAGCCCGAGCCGGAGTGGTGGCCACCGGCGGAGCCGCCGTTGGCGCTGGGCAGACTGGAGAGGTCCTCCTTGATGCCCGGATGGTGGCCGCCCGATCCGGCCTGGTTGAGGCTGGGACAGGCCGATAGGTCCTGCTTGATCACCGCCGACTGCTGGCTGGCCACGCTGCTGGGCGTGGTGCCGCCACCGCCGGTGGCCACGCTGCCGGTGGTGGTGCCCGGTCCGGCGGATGCGGCGTGCAGGTGGCCGCCCAGCGAGGTGGGCGGCTCGTGCCAGGCGCTGTGCGGCGGCACACCCACGCCCACGCCCAGCCCCATCGAGCGGGACAGGCCGAGGTCGAAGGCGGACAGCTCGGCGCCGGACTGGGGGCGCGGGTTGAAGAAGCCGGGAGCCGTGGACGGGGAGGCGCACATGACGCCGCCGCCGTACACGCTCAGCGAATTGTGCGTAATAATTTTGGCGGCCGGGTCGGAACACGTGGGATAATTGCTGGAATACACTTTGTACTGCGCACTGCTTTCGTTAGAGTCCTAAGCTCTATTTACTTGATTATTTATCCTTTGCTGCTCTTCTATTTATTTTTTTTTTTTTTATAAAAATTATTTTTATTTATGCTATTAGCATCTCAGTATTTCACTAAAACACTTTGATTTTTTTTTTCTCTTGCTCGCTTTCGAATTTCCCGCTCGGCGCACACACGATGTAGCAGATAACTTAAAGACTTGGAATTTTTCAGTTTAATTTCAGTATCTTTGCGTCATGCGGAGCAGCGAAATCTCAGCTGTTCTCGTAAGGCCTTTTAGAGCCTGACTGGCACAACATTCGTGGCAAAAGGTACACGACCCGACCCGACTCGACTCGACCGTTTCGACCTAACGACACATCACACAAATCTCTCGCCACTCCACTCAAACGGGCACTGGTGCGGATCTGCTCGCTCCTTTGGCCAGCCGTATTCCCTGCGGTTGAGCGCAATCGCCGCTCTCAGTCGCACACGGCTGTGGGGCAAGACCTTCGACGCGTTTGGCTGATTTGCCACCACCAACCACTCTCACCACTCTCAGCAGCAGCTCCACCACCAACACCACCACCACCACCACCACCACTGCCACTGCCAACCACTCTCTCTCTCTCTCTATCTGTCTGTCTCTGCCTCTGCCTCTCTGTGAGCGATTTGCACTCAACGAAGGCAAGTCACTCGTCCAACTAGAACCCGTTTGCTCTTATTAGCTCGCTGCCGGGCGCATCTGTTAGATACTTTTACCGTTAAGGTTCTTTATCGTCGGACTTTGGGGTCCCAACTTTTTAACAATTTGTTTGAAATGAGTCGAGTCTCCACCCCGAAATAAGTTTTTGCGATTGTTTATCTTAGCACTGCGCTGCGAATCGTTCTTCTCTGGTTGGTTGGTCGCCTTAAAGTGCGTTCCACTTTGTGTTTCAACAATTTTGGAGCGACTTAAAGTACGCTTTCTTATCTGGGGGGAAGAGTTTGGCGGCCATAATGCCCGTTCGCATTTAAATGTTTGCTTTAAAGCTTCTTTTCTATTGGTTGCTAGCCAAAGGAAAACAAGATAAGCCGCAGGTCTATAAAGATATAGCGATGATGGAAGACAGGATGGGGCGGGATATAAAGATTGGGATGGTATTACTCCTGAACATCCATATAGCATGAAAATCTTAAACTATCTGGTTTTCTTTTGCATAAACAAATTTAAGGTCCTACTTTTACCCGGCTAAAACTTTGCGCTTTGGTGAATTTAAGGCATACACAAAAGAAAAAGTGGAAAAAAAGCGATTTAGGGTCTGCGCATTGGCTTTAAAGTTTATAACTCATACGTACTGTTGCCTTTGATAAAATATTTTATTTTCATATAGGTGGCGTAGCCACAGTTTTTTCGAATTTAATAATGTTTTTATTACTTTGACAACGAATAAAAACTATATATGGTTATTTTATATCAACTCTTAGAAAAGCATAATTTGTTTTTATAGCAAAACACGCCACTGTTAAATTCAATAACAGAGAACCATTTTCGACTTAAGAAATCGGGGTCCAAGGTGTTTCCTTTTATTTTTGTATAAAAGATAATTAAATGAAGCATCTGTAGTAAAGTGCTGTAACTAGTTTATAGCTTAAATTTTATAATTAATAGTTTCAGTTGTAGAATTGCAATTTGTTATTTTATTACTTTGGTAATTTTCATAAGATTGTTAATCAAAAAAAACTAATCCATGTTTTATGCCTCTTTTTACAGTCTTAAAGAAATCAATAAACTTGTTTTGATTCGAGCTTTACGTCGTTAAATTGGATTTACTTAGCTATTGAAGAGTTTCAATGAAATATCTATTAAAATCACATGATCTATGAATGTTTAACAACTGTGGCAGATCCATACTGACCTCAAAAGTCGCTTAACGAAAATCGCAGCGTATTATTAACGCACAATGTACTCGGACTGCCCCCAAATAAAAGTTTACCAGCCGTGGCCAACTGAAGCCCATTGACTGTCGTAATATAATTATAATAATTTCTGTAGGCTAATTGGATCAGGCACTGGCTCCTCGGCAGCGACTTTTACTCTGCTACTTTGTTGACTTTGTTTACGTGTTTGGGGGAAATGGGAAATGGGCTGGGGAAGTGCCAAAACATGAAATCATAACGATAATTGAATTCGTTCTTAACGAGGACACCTTGCGCAACTTGATATGTCCATTTGTCGACTGTTATTTCTTGGATACTTTTGGAATTAGCATTTAACGAGCGCCCATTTGCACGCAACTAACTTGTGGAGAGTGAAAACTTAAAGGGAATCGCTGGATGCCACGCAATACTGTCGGCACTTCATTTTTCAGAACCCAGCAGAGTGGGTGGAAAAGTGGGAAAATGCGGAGATGCGAGAATGGGAAAATGGGAAACAGGGAGATATTGGAAAAGTGTCGCAGGCGGCAGAGTTGCAAAAAAGCAAGAGTTGCAGGCCAGTCCAAAGGGCCAAATTGTGGCCACCGCACTTTGCACTCCCGCAAAAGGGGACAGTTTAGCGGGGGCGGGGGCCAAAAAGCAGGGCGTAACGGGCCACGGACTCTGGCGCCCTCTGGTGTCGGGGTTTCCGGGGGGGGTGGGAAGGCCATGGGAAGGCCAGAGCTAAGTGCAAACGTACAATTGGATGATGAACGATATGCCACCCCAACTTTTCACTCGAATAAGAGAGAGAGACACCTCCAATTGGACTGGTTTCCACTCACTCGCCGAGTTTCGTCAAGTTTTTGTGGCTCTCTCTCTCAGAAGTCACGCCCCTCGTTTGTCTACATTTCCATCTCTCTCTGGTGTAGCCCCATCTCTTTCGCCTCCATGTCTTATCATTAACTGTATCGGAATTTCGCTCGCTCGCCTTTTTTCGGTGTGTTTTGCCCCCATAAAAGCGGCTAAAAAGAAACAAAAAGCGCCTTCTGACTTTTTATTAACACCGCTAGATGTCTCTCTCTGGCAGCCCCGTTTAGACCCCAAATTCAATTGGCAGCGTCTCTCTTTCTGGCCATATGACTTATGTGTGGGGTCTCGATCCCCCGAACATCCTGATGGCTCCTCTTCCTTGAACCTAATCCCGTGCTCTCGCCACCTCTTGTTACAGCCTCGTATGTTGCACGTACCACCCACTGCGACCCCCTCCCTTACCGATGGTTACATGGACTTGTGCGGAGTTCGCGCAGTCAGCCGGCACCTCCAACCCCTGTGGGTTAAATACTGACAACCCCATTTGAGCGCCTTTTTGCACTCGCTGCCACAGAAGCCCCATCTGCCTCAGCTGCCCCACCTTCGTCCGCCTTGTTGGCCATTTTTTGTGCTCCTTTCTGCTTGGGACAGTTCATTGAAAGTGGGTGGGAGGACACTGGGAGGAGGTGGTTGGTGTGGGCCCAACTGGGTGGAACTGCGTTTAAAGAGATTTCAATATACCCAGGGATTCGGGTGAAAATGTAAAATATTTATTAAAAGGCACTCATAATTCCCTAGTTACCCAAGATATAACATGAATGCCTTACAGCTCTGTATATATATTTTATAAACATTAGTTTATTGCTTTATATCTTTAAAATTGTATTTAGTTTAAAATTTTACAAGACGAGCAGATGATGTTACTTATTAAAAATAATTATTAATCATTTAATCTTCTACCAATAAAACTATTTTGCAGATTAGTGGAGTTTTTCTCCAAAACTAATTGTTTATATATTCACTTAATAATTTTGTCAAAAAAGGGGTTTACTATTCAGTTATTGCATATATAAAAGAAAGTTATTAAAAAACGTTGTGATACAAACTGTAGTTTAGCAAGCAAAATAATTCAAATTGATGTATAATGGATGTATTAAGGAAACATATTAGGAAACTTACTTAAAAAGGTACGTCGGTTGTTGCATTACAAAATATGAATTATCAAAGCTTAAGTAAAGAAAAAATGTATTTATATAATGTGGTTTTTCTAAAATGGTTTTTAAATATTGCAGAACAAAGTTAAAGTACTTAAATAGCTACTCACAAGTTCTGCAAACTTTAAACAACATTTCAGTTACGCGCAACATTTTGCTTTGCAGCTTGGCTTACCACATTTGGATGCTCTGCTGCACTCGAATCCAAATGCTCCAAGGACTTTGGATTGCTCCTAAGCATATGTACGGGCAGAGATATATATTTCTGTTCCAGCATGAATCTGCTCCCATTCGCGGACAAAGGGAATGCTGTTGTACAGCCACTCGCAGTCTGCACCCACTGTGGGCCCTCTCTAAAATAGCAAACCAACTGGCATATAATTTACATTGTTGCTTGTTTCCTGCTTCCAGACACCACGCCCCCTCTTCTAGCACCGGGCAAACTTTTACATTGATAAATTTTTAGTAATTCCTCTTCTCTGTGGCGTTTTTTTTTTGTTGTTGTTGCCTTTTGTCTTTCGTTGCTGGCAAGGACTTTATGAATAAGTGCTAAAATGCCAGAGACCAGGACCGCAATGGACCGGGCCATGTCATGCTGGTTAAACTGACGAACACGCGCCCGCCTTCCCTCCCTCTTTCCTCCCCTATGCCCACTCCACCCCCTCTGCCGCCACACCCCCCAATCTATACCATCCTTTCAGTTGGTCTGCAGAAAAAGTTCCCTCTGCTGGCTGTTGTTTTTAGCCTGATGATTCATTGTGAAAGTGGAGCTGTTCGTGGCTGGAAAATGCTGAAAATGTATTCCCTTGCCCGGAGTCGCGTACACAAATGTGAAATTTTCCAGCCACAAAAAAAAATACATGCCAAAAACAGCAAGTAGAGTTCCCGTTGCTAACAACTTTGTCAACCCAATATGCTTGATGGAGCTTCGTCACCAGTTGATGGATCTGTTTCACAATAAAATCGTCTGAGAAAGCAATTCGTTTGTTGCTTAAATATATTTAAATTTCATTAAAAGCAATACAATTTAGGGATTTTAGACGGTGTTTTTGTTAAAATACTTAATCGTTTTGTTAAATTTATTTTAAAACATTCATAAATTAATAATTACAAATTTAGTACTAGTTGAAATCTTAAGTTTAAGCTTTAGACCTCAAACAAGTTTTTCCTTAAGTCAATTTTGCTGGCAAATTTAATGGTCGACATCTGGGACATCAAATATTAGCATAATCTCTTTTCTTTTGAATACAATTATTTAAAAATTGTTATATTGACAAAAGTTAAATTTAAAGATTTCGGTTTTTTACTGAGACGATTGGTTGTACCATTTCAAAGAAGTCTGTCAAATATTAAACAAACATTTATACTATGATTTTCATTTTCCCAATTTACTTATTTATTTCTTGCGTGCGGAAAAATATTAGTGCATCTATGCCTTTGAACCAATTAAAAACGTCCGCAATTATTTAGTCATGTGTTTGTACATTTGGAATTGCATTTGGGCCGAAACCTTTACGGGGAAGCCCCCTTTGACATGCGAGCCACAAAGCTATTAAGGGTTCGTTTGGCCACATAAAGCCGAAGTAGGTGTACATGGGCACAATCGAATGGATCGGAATCGA